TGCTATTTTTGCTCTTGACCATAATTCACTGAAACTAAGCTTCTGCCTGTCTTCCAATATAACTACTTCCAAACTATTTCATTAGAGGTAAGAGACAGTCTTGTAGGATTCTGACACTGGTGTTATTCATAACATAATGGTGGTGCCATGTGATAGAGGATAGATGGAACTTGCGACCTGAAAGGGTGGCGACTCAGAAACTCACCTAACATTTAAGCAGCATTTAGATAGTCACTTGCATTGATATAGCCTCCAGGGCTATGGGTCAAAAGCTGGGAAATAAGTTTAGCGTGATCAGATCTTTGTTGACCTGAGTCACAATGGGCCAAATGAACTCCTTCAGTGCTGTAAGTCTATGAGTTTCTAATGAGAATAGTATTTCATTGGCACATGTTAGGTCAGGTATTCCCAGTGCTGTTACTTTGTCTGAGATATGAGATATTGCTGCATACTAGTTGGGCAGAAGTGTCTGCTCATGTTAAGTGCCTGCATAAGGTTCATGGATGTATAGAGATGTGGCATTATCTGCCCCAAAAGGCTACAGATGTGGGTACAATGGAGCTTTAAGAATCAGATGAATCACTTTTTGTTAGATCAACAGAGATATAAAATTAATGCAGCTAAATGAATTTGAAGAATCTAAGCAAATTATAATTTTCCCATGTACAACTATGTAAAGCTTAATGTGTGAAGAACACGTAAATTCTTACTCATTGATCTTCCTATAAGGAGCTACAGGGTGAGGTGAACCTCAAAATAAGTAGATTACCCTGAAAAATAGATTTAAATTTCAATGAGCAGCTCTTGGACTGGGCTGACACAGAATGAGTGAGTAGTCGTATAAAGCTGCGCAAGAACACCAGATCAATGAATACATCCCAGTGAACATTTGTACAAGCTTCCTCTGACATTAGATAAGTACCTGAACAATATGCACGTTTATTTAATAATCAATATAGAATTGACAAATGAAGTTGTAAAATAAAATCACTGAACAAAATAATGGGTTTCTTGTGGGAGGAGATTTAAATCCCAAAATACTGACAAACGGTAATCTTTCTAATAGATGTGGGGGGAAAAAAACCTACAGTCGTAGCAGCTCCTGGACTCTGTACGAATCCAGAGATAAAAAGACGGAAGGTAATGACATTTTAATTTGAATTGAATACATTAATGATATTTGTTTCCTGCTCAGAAGTAAAACGGTTCGGTAATTATGCTGATATCAGCCGCATTCATCGCCTTGTATGAATTATGATAACATTCAGGTTTTACATCATCCAGATAAATAAGGGACAGGTGATGATACTGGGAGATAAAGGCCAAATCCAAGCGGCTAACTTCAAGCAACCGTTCCGTTGCCCCCTGTCTTCGTTCTATACAGAAGACAGGCATGAGATAAAACTCAGTGACCTCTATTTCTAAAGCAGCGTTCTGCTTTAAAGTCCGGATTTCGTGGTCAGCGACAAAAGTGTAGCGCTTGTCTCTGTCATTAATATCTTTTTTGTAGCACCACTAATGGCTTCTGAAGTGAATTTGGACAAATATAGGCCTAATTAATAGATTGATGCATACACACTGGCGCCTGTTACTTGATACGGCACTTCAGAGTTTCCTGAAGGTATCATTGACTGAGGGAGAAAACCTTTAGATTTAAATAATGTATATCTTTGTTGGCTGCAGTCGTCTTTTCAATATGCAATGTAGGAGAAACAGTAGCAGCATCTAGGAGCAATTGAAAAGCATTCTTGGAGATATGATTGGAACTGTAATAAATGTCTTGTCAGACAATCCTTCAGTCTTCAGTTGAAACCCGTTAAATAGCTATCATTACATGTTACTTCTACAATTTACTGAAAACCTATCTACTACTTCCTAATTATAAGATAACACAGTGTGGAGCTGGAGGAACCCTTCTTCAGAAAATTTCGGTCCCGACCCGAAACATCAACTTTCCTGCTCCTCTGATGCTGCCTGGCCTGCTGTGTTCATCCAGCTCCACACTGTGTTATCTCTGACTCCAGCATCGGCAGTTCTTACTATCTCTTACTACTTCCTCGACTTTCTTCCAGTTAATTCCTAAATAAGTCTCTTTTAAAAAATTAAAGTTTTCAAACGCCCTGCATATTTTTGTTAACTTTAGAAATGCACTCCAGTAAGCCAAATCAGACCTTGAGCTCCTATATAATATTGCAAACAATGAGAGGTTAAGGTATGGGAAGGTCCAACTGAACACTTAAAAGCAAAAATGTACATAGTTACGGGGAGAATGGCCCAAAGGGAATTGCAGGTGTAGATGTAATGGGCTGAATGGCCTCCTACACTGTATTGATTCTGCATGGTGTCCAAATCAGGATCTCCCTAATCTCACCTCTCTTTACAAATCAGGATGCTAACTCCTGTGACCAAACCTGAGTCTGGAGCCTTGTCAACTTGCTCACTGCCTCAAGCACATGGATTAAATTTCATGACATGTAATATTTGTGATGTTCACTTGATCAGAAGATGTCTGAATCCAAACCAATTTAAAAATGTATTTATTATTGAGCATAGAGCATAGAGCAGTGCTTTCCAAATAGTGTTGAAGGGGTATCCTATTTCAGGCTTGAAAATTATCACAACTCCTCAGAGAATACTGAGGGGTGTTGGATGGGGGAGGGTGGTCCAAGGCTTAGGAGAGTAGGGGATGAAGGAGAGAGGGAAGAGAAGGGGAGTAAGAGGGAAGGAGGTGGAGCTCCTTGGCAACCCATTGCTGCCTCAGAGTTCACAACCCCAAAGTTTCAGCTCAAGCCCCACTTGGAGCCTCGAGTCCTATTTTGCGATGCCCTTCCATAGAGAGAGTGCAAAATGTTTCCAGACTGGAATGACAGCTTCATCCTATGAGGAGAGATAGGGTCGACTAGACTTCTATTCACTGGAGTTTAGAACAATAAAAGGGGATCTCACTGAAATATATAAAAATCTGACTGAGCTGGGCAGTCTGGATGCATGGATGATGATTCCCTGATCAGGGAGAGGGGACAGTGTTCAGAATAAGGAAAAGTCTCAGTATACAGGGAGGCAATGTCAGACTGAGATGGAGAGAAAGTTCTTCACTGAAAGAGTGGTGAACTTCTGGAATTCTAACATTAGAACATAAGAGTGTAAGATCTCGGAGCAGGAGTAGGGAATTCAGCCCCTCGAACCTACCCTACCAATTAATACGATCATGGCTGTTCTCATCTTGGCCTCAACTCTACATTTGCGTCTGCTCTCCATAATCCTTCATCTTATGACAAATTAAAAATTCATCTATCTCCTCCTTAAATTTACTCAATGTCCCGGCATCCATCATGCTCTGGGGTAATGAATTCCATAAATAATTGGGATCAACTCCTAAATATCCTAATTCTGCCATCTGTATACCCCATATTCAATAATCACCAGCAAAGTAAATATGATTTTAAGCATAAGTGTATGTTTATGGGGAGAGAGATGTGGTTAAGATGAGGAGACATCTTTCCTGTAATAAATAGACAACATTGTTCCACTCATTTTGAAATCTATGAAATCAAAGGCAAATTAATCAGTAGGTTTCATCTGAGTCAAAACATCCACAGATATTTCCAATCACATGGTTTGACTTTCACTAATCTAGTCCTAGACATTAGCACCCCTTAAATCTGGGTGGGAATGGAGTGGGATTTTACACCATAAAGTTTGTAATTTTAATTCCTTAAATTGTGAATCTGCCTGCAGCACACTGACTACAGCGATTCAAGAAGGCAGCTCACTACCACTTTCCAAAGGGCAGTTAGAGATAGGTAATAAATCCTGGCCCAGCCAATGATTCTACATCCCATGAGTGAATAAAGAAAACGAAGGGAACTAAACCATCAAAATAGCTGTCAGAAAAAAACTGCAATTGGTTCTTGAAAAGCTGGCAATCCCAGTGACAGCCTCGAAAGCAGCACATGGGAAGGGCAAGAGTAATGAGTGTTGGATTGCTGCTGTTGTAATTGGGCTGGGGGAGTGGTGCTTGAGGTGAGGAGTTTTCATTTGGGGAGTAGGGGAATTGTGATTGAGGTGGGATCATTAACTGGAGTCGGGTGTGATGGCGTGGGGGGTGTTGGGTAGAGGGGGTTTTGGGTGGGGGTGCTGGAGTCGGGGTGCTGGGGGAGAGTTGGGTTGGGAGGGTTATTGGGGTGGGGGGGTTGGAGGGGGGGGAGGTGTGGTGTGGGGAGGGGTTTGGGGTGGGTGTGTGCTTGGGGAGAGTTGGGGTGGGAGGAGTATTGGGGTGAGTGATAACAAGGTGTATAGCTGGGTGAACACAGCAGGCCAGGCAGCTTCAGAGGAGCAGGAAAGCTGACGTTTTGGGTCTGGGCCCTTTCCTGCTCCCCTGATGCTGCCTGGCCTGCTGTGTTCATCCAGCTCTACACCTTGTTATCTCAGACTCCAGCATCTGTAGTTCCTACTATCTCTTGAGGTGGGGGGGTGTTGTGGCCGTCGAAGGGGTGTTGGGGTGAGGTGTTGCGGGGGGGGGGGGGGGGGGGGGAGGGGGGTTGTGGTGAGGGATTTGGGGCGCGTGTGTGCGTGGGGAGAGTTGGGGTGGGAGGAGTATTGGGGTGGGGGTTGTTGTAGCTGTGGGAGGGGAGTTGCTGGGGGAGATTTGGGGTGGGGGTGTGTTGTTGGGGGGTTAGTTTTGGATTGGGGTGTGTGTGTAGTTGTGGTTTGGGGGGGTTCGGGGAGAAACTGCAGCTCAGTCTGTTTCCGATTGAGCTCCTGTTGCGATCAGGGCTCTGTTAGTGCTGTGTAGGTGAATAGGGTTGAAGCTGGGTAAAGGCCAGGGAAGGGTGAGGGGGGCTGCGGACCCACTCCTGATCAGACACTTCCCCCGGAGACGTGCTCCCCCCACCTCCTCCTGAAATAAATGGGATTTGAAGACGACAAGCGGGTGATTCATTCGTATTAAATGACAGGAGGAGGGGCTTTAGCCTCACGCTGAGATCTATTATAAAGGAGTCCCGGGCGCTCTGTGAAAAACCAAAGAGCTGAGAGAAACTCACCAAAGGTTGTGAAACTAACTTTGAGTTCTATTCTCTGAGACAGTAAGGAATCTGCTCGGTTGCAGACTCACCTCTTTATTTCTTTTGCCTAGATTCTAGCTTTTCTGCTCGTTTTAAGGACACATTGATGCCATAGAAGTTACATTGTTTCCCTTCCACTACAACTAGGAAGCCGAAATCCGAGAGATTGTCCACTCCAAGCCTGGACAATGGACTGCCTTAAACTGCTCCTTCTCCTGAGCCTAGTCTTCGCACATATTTACTGCGATGAAGACCCGTCACCGACACTAGAAAAGGACTCGTGGAACATTGACAGCGAGAACTGGCAGGTAATTCGGCCCCTTTTTTAACATACTGTTAGCAGCGTGTCTTCCTTTTTGTTGCTGGCGCCTCCCGGCTTCAGATAGGAGCCGTGCCACCGACCGAAGAACTAGTGAAAAGAGGGAAAGCCCTGGCTGGACCTGCGGCAGGAATGTCTCTGCCTCGTTTAGAATGAGTTCGGGGAATGGGGGGACCGGGGGAGGGGGAAGATGACAGGAGACTGAGTGAAGTGTGAATTGAAGGGGTTTGTGCGTCCTGTTTCATCCGGAGTGTAGAATCCCAATCTCCAGCTCTCCCATTCTGTCCCTCAAAGAGCTTCCACTAAAGAATGAGGATCCCAGATCGCAGACAGCTCCAGCCGGTCACAGTTCAAGCTTCCCCAGCTTGTTCATTCTGAATATCCTCAGAGAGCTTCCTTTTCCCTGTTCGAGAGATCCTGCAGGTCTGATAGCAGCAGTGGACGGCACGGTTAACCCTTGTGCACAACTTGCAGTCACTGCACCTGACATTTTCACTCTTTCTCTATACACAGATGTTGCGTTTCCCAAGCAGTTTCTACTTATGTTTCAGGTCTCCAGACTCCGCAGTTCTTTGTTTTGTTCTTTCCTTGTTTGCATGTTAAATATTGTCTGTCACGTTTGTGTACAGTCGGAGTATTTGAAGGACCGCTCAGTAATTGTCCAAAATTGAAGGCTTGGGGGTCGTTTTCGCCCGTTTTTTAACCGGATCTATATCTCCACCCACATACACACACACACCAGTGTGGACATTTTTGCAATAAACGCGGCTAGTGGCTTTCAAAATCAAATCCAGCATCGCCTTTGCTCCCAACTTGTCAGTCACTTCCCATTCCGTTTCAAATCTCCCCGGACAAAGCAGGACCAAGTCAGCGGTTTCTCTTGGTGATTTGGTGAGTTCAGTGACAAACCTACATAGTTTCGATAGAAAGGCACCTGTCATGAAATACTTCGAAAGAGAGAAGAGAAATAGGGAAATGATTAGAGAAAAGCACAAAGTTTATCAGTATTAAGTGCTGTCGCCCAGGGTCCACTCACATATCTAATATCTAATGTTGGTATGGTTACCCAACCATGTGAGACCGGTTTGGATCCATTCAGGGTTCCTATCCATCTCTCTCTCCAGCCCATTTTCCTTCCTGTTGTAGCACCTTTCTTCTTCGATAACTTCAATTAGTTTCCTTTCTTTGCATTAGCGGTGGCTGAAAGCTTTACCTATCAAATAGACTAACACTACATTTTAATCATTAATTCTCTATCGAAATGATGCAAGACAATGAAAATGTTTCATTTCATAAATATAACCTGTTTATGTTTTTCACATTCCTGATTCACTAACTATTCAATTGCCAAATCCATCAGATTTTTGCTTGCTTCCATCAAACCATTCCCTCCTCCACTGCTCTCAAGTGTTCATGCAAATGAAAGGTGACAAGAGAAGTCTCTATTTAAAATATTGGGGAGGGAGGAAAATAACGTTTACCTTCTTTCTTTCTATCTTTAGGATGATTTACCAGAAGACAATAAAATCATGCAACAGTTTGCTCGCCTGGTAAAAAGAGCGAAATTTGATAAGTTCTACGGTTTAATGGGGAAACGTGCTTCGGGTAAGAGAGCATATCTGTTTGACTGAGTGTAGTTCTGTCTTTTTTTTTAAAAAGTCACTTTATTCACCATAGATGCTATGTTTCCCCGTTCTTTAAGTAACTGTATCTGTCATCATGTAATTGCATATTCATCCATAAGGCATTATAACTATACGTATAATTATAACTATAACCCACTGGTGAGAGAAATGCACCTTGGAATATTGTTTCCAGTCTCCAGATTGTATCTTCAGTAGTGCATATTTTTGTCTTTGAGCAAGAGACAATGAAATCTGCTTTTCAAAATGAATGGAATCTTTACAATATCTGTTCAATATACTCCAGCTTTTAGAATAAAAATTGAGAAGTCTCTATAGCTTAGCCACCAGTATCTAAAGTCTCAGAACATTTTTGATATATCCATTTAACTTCTCTTGTATACATGTTGTTCTTGCTTATTAGTTTTTATTGCAACTTCATTTAACTGACAAGTAATGCCATATAGCTGTCTTACTGCAGAGTATAGCCTTCTTAAGATTTGTTGGTGACATTAAATCAATCACAGCATTAATATATTTCTTTAAAATTTGGTTGATTTCACTTGGGGTTTGTGCATTTAGATCAATAATAATCGTGTTGGCTTCAAGCTGAGGTCAGATCCTGGTTTTGACTCTGCATAATCATTGCCAAAGATCATGCCTAAACTCTTTAATATTTATATTTGATTTACATTGTAACATTGTGTCAAGAAAACTTGATTTCAAAACTATTTTCTAAGAGTCTTCCTAATTCATGCACAGTTAAATGTCCTACACTGACAGCAATTAAATTAACTTTCTTCCATTGTGTCTCATGGAGGTTTAATCTCTCTCCCTCCAATGTACTTTTACTCAGAAAATAATGGGTTTTAGTGATAAATATGTATTGATTCTTATTTACAATGCTTAAGAGATTAATAGGAAGGAGGATGGGGAAAATATAAGCTAGCATATCAGTTGTACACTTTGTGTACCTGACTTCGTATTTGGTCCAGGAAGGTCTTGGGTACAATTCCACATCCAAGGTCCTAAAGTTTTTTTTTTAAAGAGATGTCAATGTAAAACATGCATGAGGATGAGTGTTTGTTTGAGTCTTTGATTTGATTATCTTCATTGCTGAACAGTCCGCAGACACTGTTCAAGCTCGTGCCTGATGAATGAATACACGGATGAGTGACCAGAAGTCAACCAGAACCTATGAAACGCTCATCCTATCATATAAAATGTTGACAGAGAGAGGGAAAGAATGATAAACAATTAAAATTGTTACTCCTTTTGTTTCTTTCTGCTGATCATTCATTCTTACTTTACAGGTCCAACACAAGCAGGTATCGTTGGCCGTAAAAGTAAGTCTATCAAGGGCTCACGTTCATGAGTCTTTGTTCCTTCATTAAAAGGCTGTCAGTAGGAATTGCTAATTACCATATTGGCTGAACATATTTCTAGATAGGCAAATTGTTAATAATCAATCATTTCCAGCCTGGAATAGGAAGAAATGGTTAATAGAAGAAAAATACTGCAGGTGTGGAAATAAAAAGAAAAATGCAGTATCTATAGAGAGAGAAACAAAACACTTTGAGTTGTCTATTACTCTTTCAGAATTGATCTGGTGAACGGGTTAGATCTTACAAACCAGAGAAACTTGACACAAATTTAAATCAGATCATTTCAAATTGAATACAGAAACAATTGCTTCATGTGTTCTAAGTGCTGTATGTCATTTGCATATGTGCCACTTCATGTTTGAGATCTACAGGTACCTGCACATTACTCAACAATATCCTCTTTTAAACTATTGATTTCTGCTCTTGTGTATTCAATTCATTCTACTTCTTGCATTTTAGAAAAGTGTAGTTCAGTAGCTGCTTTGTAGGGTTGGAGGAGTTTGCAGAAATAGAAAGGGGAATTGTAGGGAATTAAATGTGATAATCAAACATGTAAATCAGGCATTGACTCCAAAATCCCAAATGTACATGAGTGAAGTGAGGTTTGATGGGCAAGTGTAAATTGGCGTAGGATAGGATCAGAGAAATAGAGTTCTGTATGATTTAAAGTTTACAGAAGGCTAAGGACTGGAAGTTTAAAAATGGCCATCTTCAAGGAAACAAGAAGGATGAGGGTCTTAGTGGCAATTTTTGTGATGGAGATGATAGGGATTGGGAAGCTAAGTTCCAATTTAAGTAGGAAATTGTGACTTATTCAACACTAGATGTTAGAATGGTTGCCAAGTGGTAGTGGAGAGGTCAGAAGAAGCATCAACAGCATATACACATCTGATTTCACCAGGGGACTGCAAATAGGTAAGAGAGTAAAAAGGAATGCAGGATGGATCATTGAAGAATTCTAGAGATATTAGGGTGAGACAGAAAGATAAGCCAATGCTGGAAATATTCTGGCTATAAACACATTGAAACTATCCAGTGAAGGCAGTTCACTCACTGAACAATGAAGAGAGGTGTTAAAGGAGAAGGATGTGGATTTGGTCAATCACATCAAATATTTCAGAAGCTCAAGGGCACAAGTTGAATAATGAACCATAGTTACAGTAATAAAATATCCACGACTTTTGTTAGAGCAATTTAACTGTTGTGATTGGGGTGGAAACCTGATTGAGAGATTCAAACTGGGACAGGCATGGATCTTAGAGTTAGCTTTCGAAAGATAAAGTAAGATTGAGGGGTGGTTTGCAAAAAATGTTTATTTTGAGCAGGGGAGGGGATAATGGGGGTTTTGAAAGTACAGTAGATTGTACTCGAGAAGGAACCATTCACTAATCATATATAAAAGAAGTTCACAAAAATTTTACATAGCATGTTTAATACTATTTTTAATTTTGGATTCAAATTTTCTGAATTGAACTAAATAGAATTTTGAGCATAATATTAGCAAAATGAATAGTTTTTGCGTTTGTGCCTAGTATAAGTAAGACACAATCAATTTGTATGCAAAATGTCTTCAGTGTGGTTTTGTAAAATGTCTCTAGAATATCCTCACCGTACCAGTGGGGCTTATTCACTTTCACACATTGTATCAATGCAGATTCCTTGAGCAAGATTGCAGAACTAAGTTACATTTTAATTTAGCTTTGCATAGATTACTAACACACAATGTAACTTGAGTTGAAGAATCCCAATCTGATTTTTCTGGAAACTATTAATAATTCTTCAAAAGAAAGAGAAAATCTTTTATCGGGACTAGGTTTAGACCTAGTTGATGTACATGTGGTATCCAAATCTATTATTGAGAGCTTACTTTACACCATTATCACCACAAACACTAACAGAGATTTTGTTAACATAAAAAGCAATTATTCAGCAACAATCTGCTGCTTGTGACTATCAGAAGAAAAACAATGGAGTAGATCTGAGGTAAAGGGAACAAGTAGAGTCTCAGAACTGTACTGCTCAGAATAAGGTCATTAAACCCATCAGGACTGCACAATGTTAAGAATTATCGACTTAGTTCAATTTCATGTTCTTTTATATTATGCAAAACACATTTCTTTTTAAATTCTTTCTTTTCCATTCCAGATATTCCATGTCTTACCCACCACTGGCTTTAAGAAATCTCCTAAATCACCATCTGGGTTTCTTTTGATATTAAATTCTGCTATTAGATTCTGAATCACTAACCTGCAAAAGGCTTTTCTCACTAATTTGATCAAAACCCTCATAGCACCTTCCCTGCTGTAATGAAAACAGCCCAGGTTTTGGTATTCTGTCTTAACTAAAAAATCCTTTCATATCATCTCAGTAATCTTCTCTGCATAACCTCCATGACTTTTTGCATCCATCCTAAAGTAACCCTTGCAATACCAAACAGAATATTCAAACCACAGCCTTGTCAATGATTTGTACAGTTTTCAACATTGTCTTTGCATTTGTGCTCTGTGCCCCTATGATAAAGCTTAGGATTCTATGATTCTCTTAAAAGAGAAATTTTACTAACTTGTCATAGATTTTCAAGATCTGTATGTAATAAAATAACTATTAACAGTTGAGGTAGTTGTTAACAATATAGTGCCATAATTAATCCACTCAGCTATAAATTCCTGGCAATATCATTTATATTGGAATTGTTACTAGCCCGTATTAATATATTTAATTTTTAACCATGTCAACCTTAAAAAACCCTTGGCCTGAAACTCTCCATTTATAAGCACTGGAGAAACTCAACAGGTCTAGCAGCTGAGTTACTCCAGCACTTTTTGGTTTTATTAAAATATCTAGCATCAGTCTTTTGTTTTTTGATCCATTTACTTTATTTCAGTTTACCAAATGCACACTAAAGCTAATATTGGAAAGGACTTCAGTGGGTGTTGGTGCCGATGACTCTCAAACAGCAAGCTCTATACAGTTAGTGTTCAGCTCAGGGTAAACCTGACAGATTTAATAAGGTTTCCCACCACAGCACCTTTGAAAAAGCATCTTGATGATGAATGACTTGTCTTTGTATTTAAAACAAAGAACAAATAGATTGTTCACTTCTCCTGATTATAAATGTAAACTGCATATTTGATACAGATCTAAGCAATTTGATACGCACTGTAAGAGCAAACTAATGGTCACTAAATAAGGTCCATGATGAAGTGAGTACAACAGACTGACCTACATTTTGTAACAATTTAAGCAAATACTCAATGTACAGAAATTTATTGAAAGCTACTTGTATTTTGTGTGGTACGGTGGCAGAACATGTAGAATTGTGATGGGAATGACATGCAATGGGAATAACAAGAGAAAGGTCACATCTGTGCTTTCTAGCCTGCTGAATGCCTGATTTTTAATAGAGGAAATATCAGTGATTCCAGTTTGGCCTCAAATCTGTTGATCTTTTAAATAACAAACATCTTTGGCAGAAAGATGTCCTTTCTTTGGCATGTGCAACCAAGGTTTGAATCCAGTCTGAATTCAAAGGCTGATCCTTGCTGCGAACTAAGGATCTCAATTGAAATGTGATCAAACAGTTTTGATTGTTTTCACATCTTTAGTCACACTGCCCACAATTCAGCATTAATTGATGATCACACTCAGAAAATTATTGGGACATAAATGCAGACTACTGGGGAGGCAAGGGCTACAAAATGCACTTTTCTTCCATGTATTTTCAACCTGGATCACTTGATGCTTGAAATGGGAATATGTCTTGGACCTAGCACTGATGTATTATGAGTCTATCACTGAGTGATGTTATGGTCAGTCCTGTTATGTGCAGCATTTGTGCATGCAACAGGTTTCCACTGCAATTCAAACATAAGGATTTCTTAGTAAAAGTATTAATTATCAGAGTATTTGCAGGCTTATAATAGTGTTAAACAAATAGTAGCATTCATTAAAATGTATTAGTATAAATCTTGTGTTTCAAATATCATAAACTGGATGAACTGGGAGTATAAAGTTGAGGCATAAATGTGAGTACACTATATATAATGTAATACATCAGGAAACAGTGCGAGCATACTTTTTATGGCACTTATTTTTTTACAACACTGCGACTGCCAACAGTCCTCCCTGTGGGGATGTCTTGCAAGAGTACATGTGGTACTGCCCTCTTGAGGTGCTAAGATACACCTAAAGAATTGTTATTGCCCATACGCCTCTGGAGGAACAGTGGTAGGGCAGCAATATAAATGTAGAATAGCTAGCTTCCCATGCTGGCCAGTGGTGCAGTTCTCTCAAAGCCATCACAGCTGTTTCCTGAGTATCAAGAAAAATCCAGTTGACATAATATGCAGCACATTTGGAGTTATTTTGATATTACAGAGGCTGTGGCATTCCCTCTTGCAGGGTAAAGTCTTAACAGCAACTGGAGCTAACCTCCCATAACCAAACATGTTGTGCTTGGAGCACTCTAGTTAGATAACAGCAACATTGTCTCTCCCCTCTTTCTCCTTAAATAAGCGCAATGATAATTTATGCCCCAAAGCGCTCAAGGGCTTAATTGCAAACAGGCATAATTAAAAATTCATCTGAAGCAAATGTTCCAAAAGGCAGTAAGTAGTTATCAATCACTTGTTACTAACTAATGCATGACATGCATAATTTGATTGCTAGTTCCCTCTCTTTCCCAAAAGACCTAATGTGCATTTCCTCTTGCATTTAACTATTTATTAGCTCTGTTTTTGAGACTAGGCTCCCAGTAAACAACAACGACATCCTTTTATTATAAAGTAGTCCACCCAATAATAGTCCTGTAAATTGTAAATTATAAATTTATTTTAAATACAACATTAGCAAAATACTGATGACTATTTGGCCGCCTTTAAAGAGAATGAATTCCAACATAGATTTCAGGATTGGTTTTCTAATTGTTTCACTGCAGCATATAAATTGGTCAGTGATTGTCTGGAGGGCATTTCAGCAATAACAAAAATGAAATGATGTTGTGAAAAATCTTCTGCAATGTCATGTAAGAGTGAAACAGGAATGAAGGATATTCAGGATTTTCTTTTAAAAGGGGCAGCAAATTCAGAAAACATCCCTAAATCAACATCCCAACATTGCTTGACCCAAAATGGAAGTGATACATAATAGTTAGCTCATTTGTAATGTATTCTTCAACTAGTTGAAGCACAAAAGTGTAAATATGTAAAAATGCCTTCAGTTACCATTCTGGACTTCTTTTTTACTATGTAGGACAAAAGGGAGAGATGTTTGTTGGCCTTATGGGACGACGGTCTTCAAGTGCTGGTATGGTATTCATTTCCTGACTTGAGCATGTTTCTCTTTCCTCTTCTCTCATGGTGTTCGTACACACAGCTACAGTCAATCAAATCAACATGAAATGGACATTTTCAGACATGACCTTTTTCTGCAGATTTTTCATCCCCCAAAATTGGTTAACAAACCAGTTTGGGCAAAGATAGTGGAAATGTCATTGGGCTAGTGATCTCGATGCACCCTGCTAATTTTCTGGGGAAATTGGGTTTGAATCCTACCATGGCAGATGTTGAAATTTGAATTCAATAAAATCTGGATTTAAAAGTTAGTCTAATAGTTGACCATACAACGACTGTTTATTCGAAAAATCGATTGGTACACTAACTTCTTTCACAGAAGGCAATCTGCTATCTGCAGCCATGCCTAATTTCCATGCAAGAAGAAGGAAAGATCTGCTTTGTTATTCATTGCAGCATTTTAATGTTTTTTGGTCCATATTGGACCATTTTGGTGGTCCACTTCAGGGAGAAAATTTTCCCATTTTTGCAGTGATCATCAGGACTGCATTCCCCAAATTCAGGTAAAGACAAAGAGGTGGACAGCATAGTCCTCTTTAGTTTGTGCCCCACAAGTGCTTTAACCGAGAAAAATTCAGCTTGCCCTCCCTACAAGCCCTTGCCTCTTTCCATTTCTTTCACCAGCCACTGATGCAGCCTCAATGAATGAGATTACCACTCATTCCACAATGTAACTCTGCTACTTTGATAGCACCAATCACAAACTAGGTCAAAACAATCCCAACTAAATTTGCATACAAAACTTCAGAGCTGCCAAACTCAAGAGAATTAATAAAAGGAGTATTTGTTCAATTTGATTCCGAAAAGAAGTTTCATTGAGGATGCTCCCTATTACTGGTGATATAGAAAGGACGGACTTCAGTAATGTAACACACAGACCAGGAAATGTTAAAGATTGCATATACCAGAGTCAGTTGTAAGTAAACCATCCTATACTGAATATTAATTGTGAAGCTCCTGCTTCTACATCAGTACTATCCTATTTGTAACATTACACTTTCCCAGACCTCAGTGTTACATTGCTGTTCATTGCTATGTGGGCCTTTACCAATTAGGAGCTACATTGACCATGGTTGAGACAGTGGGAATCTATATGGTTTGGACTTGAGGCCAGTAACCAGAGATGACAGGCCAATAGTCCCAATTCCAATTCGCCAGCAGTGAATGGTAGAGAAAAGCAATGGACTGTCCACACACTTGATGGACATCTCTGTTTCAATGGGTATGTCTAAAGTTAGCTTCAGTACCTTTGCAAATATCATTGACCCTTTTCAAAAACAAAATCACTTCAGATGTTACGATACAGTTCTGGAACAGGTAGGATTTGAACCCAAGTCTTCTGGCCCAGAGGTATGGGCACAACCACTGCACCACAAACAGCTTTGATCAATTCCGTTAGTTGAACAAAAATGGCATGGATGCAAGCTGTGACATTGAGGGGGTAGACAAGGAGAACAAAAGGAAGGACAGTTTTAGATATTTTTATTTGTGAGCAAAATCATCCAATTTTATCTGATTCTGCATAGGATGCAGAGAAGGCATCTGATATATTGAATCTCTTGTCTTTTTTTTCCAGAGGCACCTCCAGAATGGGAAAGAATTCAGTACTATGGACGAAGGCGCAAATAAGTAGTACAAGTGTAAAACCATCTGAATGTTCTCTGCACCGTTCCATCAGGAATGGGATTTTTGGCTAAATTACCTGTAACTCAATTTGTGCTTAGTTTACCAACCATAAACACTGACGTAAAACCTCCACTTCAAACAAATCTTAAATAATTTGTCAAAGCTGTTCAGTATTTTAACCTGTTCCTGTGAAACTTTCAGCAAGAATTCACAATGACATAAAAAATCTAAATCAAAGTGACTACCAATAGCATAATCTATAATGCCTCATCATACATTGGTATGATGTTCATGTAAAAATAGAATTGGATAATTTATTTTTGAAATTTGCTTGCATTTTAAAATATTGCAAAGTTATAGTTGTGTACTGCAATGAATTGAAGCTCTATGGTATAAGTGTACTATTAATTTCATTCATTTGGTTTATCTACATTTAGTTAAACTTGTTAAAATAGGAATTTGGTTAAATGCTACATGGTTAAAAACACTGACAATATTTGTACAGTTATCCATAGTTCTCTGCAGATACTAACAGTCACAAGATTGAAAATTCATTGCACAAACATAAAATGTTTTTAAAAATGTATTATTTTAAAACTTATCAAATAGAAGTATATGAAGCATCGATCTTATCATTTACAAGATCCAATTTCATTCAATTGGCTTTTATGTAAAGCAAAGATACATTGGTTCGTTTTTCATGTCAAGTTTTATGGTACATTACCTCCTGATTTTTTTCAAACTGCAGGAAAGGGAAGCAATCATCCACATTATTAAAAACTATTTCTTTCTGTGTCTGATTTCAATTGATGATTAATTATGTCTGTTCTAACGGACCAATAAACAAATAAGCAACTGTAAAGTGTAAACACACTCTATATTGTACTTTTTTAACACAGCCCAAATGCAATTGTGCACAAGCAGTAGACCTGATGAATGTTACAACTGAAAAGCTGTAGTATAATTCAGAAACAGGGTTTGACATTCCTCCATGTTGTACCATTAAAGATACAGCTGTATCCATGCATCATAGCCCAGTGAATATATGCAGCAAGTGGTTGAGCCATACTGACTAGAAAAAATTAACAAAACAAATCCTGTGCTGATTCAGCTCTTCTTGGTAGCATAGGAATTTAAAAAAAACCTTCCCTTAACACACTGTATTCGGGAAAAATCAATTGGCCGGGTCACCAGTCATGAGCCTCAGCTGGGTGTGTTGCAACATCAGGGTGAGCACAGGATTGAGTTTGACTCTCATCAAATGGTCTGTTGTGAATCACTGTAAAGGCTAATCAATGTATAATTACTATGAGACCAGTTATTGACAGGTAAAAAATGCCTGTGGGGAAGGAAATTACCTCAGAATGAGAGAGGACAAAATGGATCAGTGAGAAGTCTGGATTTGGACACCGTGACCAGAATTATCATAAACTTTCATTTAATAGAACTGGAAAATGAAGCATTAAGGACATACAATACATTTAGGAATAAAATAAAAACAAACACATTCTTTTGATCATTGCTATTTATCTTTCACAGACTACTAATGAAGCCAACAAGTGCAAATCTAACAGTGAAAGTTAGTGTCAACCAATACAGATATTGAGCATTGGATCTGGGGCAGTCTCATTGTCTTGACTTAAAGAAAAATTTCATAAAAAGCCCATCAAAAAGAAAAAAACATGAAACAGACAATACAATTGTTCAGATTTGCAAGACTTTGTTCAATTATGCAGCCTGATTGAAGCTAATTTGAGCATTTCAAATTATTGGACTCTTAATCTGGGTATAAATAGGATATCTCTGTGAAAATGCTTGATAAAATATAATTATTACAGATGAGTGTCTTAGAAAACCAGGACAGAAAACTGGGTCAAAGCTGAAAGACACATTGTGTTGCAGCTGTCTGGTTGAATTGTCTAATTCATTATTACAGGATCATGGGTGAAGTTTTGCCAGGGCACCTTGCAGCTGGATGGAGTTAAAAATGCAGATGTTCATGCAAATATCACTGTAGCTTGTTTGTGTGATATGTGATCAAATTAATTAAATGAGACGTGCTATCAGCAGCATTCAATATATAAATTGAAAATGTATTGTTCACACTAGTTGACTGCATCTGACAGACCCCATCAGAGATCACAAAAGACACAAATTTGCTTTACAAGTGCAAATATAAAGCATAGATCTTTAAATTTATTTTGCTAATCAGTTAGATGGCCGTGTAATTATAGATTGAAATTGCTAAAGGTATCAAAGAACAAAGAAAATTACAGCGCAGGAACGGGCCCTTTGGCCCTCCAAGCCTGCACCGACATGCTGCCCGTCACAACTAAAACCCCTTACCTTCCGGGGACCGTATTCCTCTATTCCCATCCTATTCATATATTTGTCAAGAAGCCCTTTAAAAGTCACTATCGTATTTGCTTCCACTACCTTTCCTGGCAGCGAGTTCCAGGCACCCACTACCCTGTGTAAAAAAAACTTGCCTCGTACATCACCTTTAAACCTTGTCCCTCGCACCTGAAGCCTACGGCCCCTGGTAACTGACTCATCCACTCTGGGAAAAATATTCTGACTGTCCAGTCTGTCCATACCCTTTACAATCTTGTAGACCTCTATCAGGTCGCCCCTCAACCTCCATCGTTCCAGAGAGAACAACCCAAGTTTCTCCAACCTCTCCTCATAGCTAATGCCCACCATACCAGGCACCATCCTGGTAAATCCTTTCTGTGCCGTCTCCAAAGCCACCACATCCTTCCGGTAGTGTGGTGACCAGAATTGAACACAATATTCCAAATGTGGCCTAACTAAGGTTCTATAAAGCTGCAACATTACCTGCCATCTTTTAAACTCAATGCCCCGGCCGATGAAGGCAAGCATGCCATATGCCTTGTTGACAACCTTTTCCACCTGCGTTGCCACTTTCAGTGACCTGTGTACCTGTACACCCAGATCCCTCTGCCTATCAGTACTCTTAAGGGTTCTGCCATTTACTGTATATTTTCCATCTGGCTTAGACCTTCCAAAATGCATTACCTGACATTTTTCTGGATTAAACTCCATCTGCCATCTCTCTGCCCAAGTCACCAACTGATCTATATCCTGCTGTATCCTTTGATGGTCCTCATCGCTATTCATGTAGCTTTTCATTCAAACTATAATATAAAGTCCCAATAATGGCTAACCTTCTCTCAAGTGGCCACAATCAGTTATTGTAACTCATGTTTCTGATACAGCTCTTCAGAAACCTAACATCTGTTGTTCTGTGATGCTGAACATTTTGAATTATAGTATCTCAAAATGATAACACTAAAGACAAGATGAGCTGTGCTAAATAGTTTTCCAAATATGAATAGGAATAGGTAGAATTCCTGAAGAAGCGGGTGAATATAACAAGTGTGTAGTTATCTAGTGGTGGACTTGCATACATTGAAGCCATAGGTGTGATGCCTCGTGTGAACTCAGTAATATTAAAGAACAACATTCAAGGTTAGAAATTGTTCTCACTGAATTACTAAGGGTTAGTGAGAAGAGATGGATAAAATCAGGTGGATTCATCAATCCTGAGAGTTGTCTATTGAGCTCAAGTAGAAAATACGCATGTGTGACTATCACGTCAGGACAGAATTGGGCTCAGCTGTGATATGCCATGCTTGAATGATATGCTAAGGCTCACTGGTCAGCTCACACGTTAATAATGGTCATTTAGCCAAAATACAGTAGCATTACTAGAACCTCTAAAGGATACCCTACATGAGTCATTGCTTCCAGAAATTGGGAAAGTAAATTTTTTATGCTGTTTTTCAATTCCCAAATGCTCTCCTTAATGTATACTGCCTGAGTGTATACAGTATAGGCAGAAGGCAGTTGCTGATCCAGCTATGTAATGTGCTAGTAGGAATTAAGAGGCAGTACTGCATAACTCATACCAAACGTTCTTTCACATTACAGAAAGAAAAGTGCTGAGCTACTTCCAAGTATCCAGTAAAAGTTAAGAAATGCATAGATCAGAATCATAGACTGAAACCCGAAATTGCTTTTATACTAAAATGACTGTCCTACTAAGTTGGTCTATTTTAAAAATAATTACATTATCTGGCCAAGTGTTTTTGTTCCATCTCCACAAGTTAATCTAGTCTGTTTTTCAATCAATGTTTTTCCATTTCCTCATCCATTATCAATTCTTTTGCAAAAATTCAGATACTGTAACATGTCTTCCTTCGCTAACTTCACCTTATTGATTTTTTGGGTATTGATCTCAGCTATACAGTTGACACAAATTCTGAACTCACTCAGTTTCACGTTAAGCAATAGCTTAACAGCTACCTGGAGAATCCCACGCAGTAGTAAAACAGGCTGCATCTTTGTCTTGGGAACAGTTCAATTAGTTCCTGCATTGGCTCATAGCTTTAAAGAGACTTTTATTAATATTTCATAGATTTACTGCAGTTTCACTATTTAATAGTTCAACATGTTTCTCAAATATCAAGCTTTTCACTCATTTCTCTTGGATGCACTGAAATAATGGTCATATAAAGAGCAATTGCTCTCCCTGCCTCATCCTAGTAGTTATTGAGTGATTTACCGGACAGATTTGATTTGTTTCTCATTTGTTGACTCCCAAGTTAGCACAATTTTTAGCAAGATAATTTGGCAGCATCTTAGTAAGAGCTTAAGATTAGTATTGAACAGCGGGGCAAAATTGACAGGCTGAATGGCCTGCTTTTGTTCCAATGTTCCTATGAATGGAATTCTTTTCTGATTGGAGTTTGCAATGGGATGCCCGAAGTATTGTAATTAAGATCATTTCTTTTATGTATAGTACAGTTTCCAGACTTGCATTTAGAGAAAATGATAAGAAAACCCTCTGAATGATACAAAACTTAACAACGAACAGTGAGCACGATAATAACAGACTTTAGAAGGACATAGACTAATGCTGAAATGGGCATGTAGCAGGTGAAATGTTATACAGATATGTGCAGAGAATTCACATGCAGAAGATTACAATTTTCTGAAAATGGCAGGTGAGTTTGGGATGGAAATTAAGAAAGTGTTCCTTAGCTTCATTTATGAGGGCATGGAATATAAAAACAAGGAAGTCATGCTAAACATTTACAAATCGTTGATTTGACATCAGCTGCAATAATGTGTATAGTTCTGAACATTACACTGTAAGAATGATATCAAGGCCCTGAAGAGAGTACAAAGGAGATTTACCAGATTGATACCCGGGATGGGGAGTTCAGTTAGATGGAGTGTTTAGAAAAGCTGGTATTGCTCCCCTTAGAACAGATAAAGTTAAAGGAGAAATCTACCAAAGGGATCCAAATTTAGGAGGGGAGTTTGATTGATCCAGTTGGGAGAAATTATTTCCTTTAGTACACGGACCAGTAACCAGAGAACAAATATGCAAAATCACTGGCAAAAGAACAAAAACAGAAATGATGAAAGTAAAGGGTTGTTAATATCTGGAAGATACTATCTAAAATGAGGGTGGAATCACAGTCAAAAGGAGCTTTAAAAAGACCATTGGATGTATACTTAGAGTTGCAAATTACAGGGGGAAGGTGGATTGTGAGACAGAGCTTTCAATGAAGTGGTTGAATGTGCTCCTTCTTGTAGTGAAACTTTATTCCAAAACTCCAATGTCAGTTACACTTCATTGCAGGGTAATTCTGTACAACAGTTACTGAGGTTGATGAAGACCAGCAAAAATAAAAATAAAAACAAATTTCAAAAGCCATATAAATGAGAAACAACTGAATACAAAGATTTATTCTGCAATCCGCAGCCTCCAAGCAAATTATGTGAATGGAGTTCAGCATTGTGCAAGATCA